GACACACACTGCCTGCACTGACTCTGAGGACACACACACTGACTTTGAGGACACACACTGACTCTGAGGACACACACTGTCTCTGAGGACACACACTGTCTCTGAGGACACACACTGTCTCTGAGGACACACACTGTCTCTGAGGACACTCTGACTCTGAGGACACACTGACTCTGAGGACACAAACTGTTTCTGAGGACAAACACTGACTCTGAGGACACACACTGTCTCTGAGGACACACACTGTCTCTGAGGACACACACTGTCTCTGAGGACACACTGTGGTGGAAACCTCTGACGTCACTATTCAATAAAAACACATGGACATATTTTCAGGACCTGACTGAGTGTATTTGTTGTTTTGGGGACAGGACGAGTCAGAGCATCTGGAGACAGAGAGACTGAGACGTACTGACTGAGTTAGAGATCAACTGAACCATACAGACGTTTGAACTTCGCTGATCTGTCCCTTTAAGGACAGTGTGCACCACACAACAGTGGAGAGTCACTTTGGTGAGTGTTCAAGTCAAAGTACTAAAGTATGTGTGGTTCTCCTCTGCTAACACTCCCAGTACATCAGTATCAGTAAGTGTAGTACATGTAGACTGTCTGTGGTACTGTGAGTACTTTGCTCCTACGGGTCAGGTTGGTTCTGTTGAAGCTCCAGCAGCTGACAAAGGTTCATCCTCTGAGGAGAATCTAGATCTTTCAGAAACTCCTCAGAGGATCTCAAAGGATCTTGTGGGTCTCTGAAGACCCTGGTCCTCCTCAGAGACTGGAACAATCCACAGCAGCTCCACGATAACAACATGATGTCATGGTTCAAAGGAGGGGAGTGGTCAGTGGGTGGAGCTTTAATACTGTTTGATCTTTTATCTCCATCTTAACCTGGAGCAGGTCAGCTGTTCAGCATGTTACCATGGTGATTTACCTGATAACAAGGGATTGAGCTTCGTAAAACTGAAAACTCTGAATTAACCCTGAAGTTAAGTGATAACCAGAAATCCTGCTTCATAGTTCAGGGACCTGGTGACATCAGCTGATCATACCTGCGGCTCAGCTCCATGCCGAGCGCCGCCGATCCTTCACTGGGAGCTCCGTGACTGAGGTGAGCTGCAAACTGTCGCACAACCGGATGGAAATGTCTCTGTGAACGAACACACGCACACACAATGATATATGTGTATATGCTTTGTGTACCTGCAGTGTGTGTGTGTGTGTTTGTGTACCTGCAGTGTGTGTAGCTCCCACAGTGCTGTGTTTTGTGCATTGCAATGTTCAGGTTCATCGAGTTCTGGAAGGAAAAATCCGCTGCCCTGAACCTCGTTATCTAACAGGAAGTCACACTTAGGAAAAGACTGACACACACACACACACACACACACACACACACACACACACACACACACACACACACACACACACACACACACACACACACACAGTTAATAAATCACAATGTGTTCAGACAGTAAAGTTCTCCATTTATTAATTTGATGAACAATGGTCTATGTCTCTCTCTCTCGCACACACACACTCACGTGCATGGTGGCTCTGTTGGCAGCGAGCATCCCCACACTGGCGTTGGGCAGTACGTGCAGACTGAGTGTGCTCAGTCTTTTGATGAATGCCATTGCCCTCTGCAGGGTGACCTGCTTCCTACGGCGAATCAACATAGTGTCCAGACACCGCAGCAGGATGATGATGTCATCATTAGGTGCCCCTGGGTCAGACAGAACGGTTTCATGTTTCAAACTTCAGTTCTGTTCAGGTTCTAATAACTTGTGATCAGCGTTGGTCCGGAATGGAACTCTATTTTCACACTTTTTGTTGCCACTCTTCTGAAATGAATTGGACATTAACGTTCTCTTTTATCTCTGCATGTGTGAATGAGTGGGGTGGGGCCTGTGTGTAAGTTTAAACTCCACCCTAGGACATGAAAGAAGCGACACAATACACAAACACCAGCTTAGTGTAGTTAGTCCCACTGGTGCAACCAAAATACGTTCAGTCGCACTGCACAGATTTTTGGAAGCATTGATAGGTCTCAATGAACTGTTACCAGCAGAAACACTGCCCCCTGTGGCGGTAGCTATGAACTGACCTGCGTGCAGCCGTGGCAGCATCTTGTAGAGCTGAGAGTAGAAGGTGAGAGGGTCGATGTTCAGGACGTCACCTGATACAAACACATGGCAGAGTCAGTGACCTTTGACCTCCTGACACAGGAAGTCCAGCTGTCCTTTTCAAAATAAACGTCTGACCTTGTCCTGACAGGATGGTGAAGACGGTCTGGATGCAGTGAAGACTCTCCCGATTCGTCCGATCCTGCAGAGATGACATCATCAATCATTAATTGATCAATCGGTTTATGACACTGGACTAACAGCTGATCAGAGGGGCAGTGTCAAAGTGAATACTCACCCCTGATTGGATGAGGTTCTGCAGCACGCTGAGCAAGTCGTCAAAGAACTCCAGGTTGATCAGGTGAGCAAAACTGACAGGAAGTGACATCAGAGTCAGTGCTACTGCAGTACACTGTGTGAATGTGTGTGCGTGGGTGGGTGTCATACTTGGCCAGTCCCTCCAGAACAGCAGGAAGTAGAACAGACCTCTGAGCTTTCTTCAAAATCCTGAAGTAGATGAGGAAGACGATGTTCAGAGTCTCTGTGTGCTGAGGAGGAAGAGCAAGAGGTAGAGAAGTTAGAGGAGGAGGCCTGTTGTTTCTCTTACAATAAAGTTTTTATATTGAAATTTTAAGTCAGACTCTGTCCACACAGACACCCATCATCACTATGGAAACACCAGCCTATAAATCAGAGACTTGTGTAAACTGATCTTGTTTTAGTTTGAAAACTCTGGGGTTGTGTTTTAGTCTGGCGCCATGTATAAGCTTCTTGTGTAGCAGAAGCATGACCTGGGCTTCAGTGTAACAATTACACCTCGTTGTCGCTCAGAGAAAAAATCCCTGCTCTGATTTTTCACCATCACTGTTCCTCCTTCAGAGGATTTTCTGTTACTAAGCAACCGACTGCAGAGATATGAGGGCGGATTCTCAGCTTTCTACTCACCAACTTTATCTTGTTCTCTTTGCTCTCTGACGCCTCAACCTCCAACAACTCCTTCTCCAGCTTCTCCTCAGCCTTCTTCCACTGCGCACACGCGCACACACGCGCACACGCACACACACACACACAGTGAACAAGTGGAACATTAACAAAGATGTTGTTTATGTGTAATTATACATTTATAAACTTATGATTAATATTAATTAACAGTTTATAAACAAACCTTCCTCTTCATCCTGGACAGATTCTTCTTCTTCTCTTTATTGTTCATGAATTTCTTTTGTGGCGCCGTCTCCTCCACGTCCTTCTTCAGCTGGACCTCCTGAATCCTCAGACTGAGCAGTGTCCGCAGCACCTGGGGTGGGGTCAACACGTCAGTGTGTGTGAGTCAGCTGTACCAACACAGTGGACGTGATGTTTGAGTGCAGTTGATTCGTTACTTCAGGTCTGATGTTGTAGTTTAGACTCTTTACAAGTCCAGAGACTACTCTGACTGCTGCCAATGATGCCCCGCCCAGTTTGTCCTCCTGGAAGAGTTTCCTGAACGCATCACAACACATGTCTGACACCTGTAAAACACAGAGACACCTGAACACATCACATGTCTGACACCAGTAAACACAGAGTCACCTGAACACATCACCATTTCGTGACAGTATGGCGCAGTGGGCGGGGCCTCACCTGCTTGGCGGGATCGTTCATCAGCGGCACGAGGACGACGACGATATTATTGTGGAAGTTGAAGTGCGGCAGAGCAAGCAGCAGCTCACACAGACAACGAACCGACACGTGAGCGAGACTCTGGTACGACTGAAGACTCACAACCTGTGAACGCTTCTTCTTCTTCTGCTTCCAGTCTGACAGCAAAACACACACAGGCAGTGAGTGTCTGTGGCAGTGTGTTGTGTTTTTTACCAGTGTGTAGTTGAGGTTGTGTTGTGTTGTGTAGTTGTTGTGTACCTTTGATGGTCTGTTCCAGGTCCTCCAGGTAAAACTTGTATTGACTCACTAAACCTTCCTCAAACTCTCTGAGACGCTGAGTCTCCTTCTTCACCTGGAGACACAAACATCATCATCATCATCACATCACACAAACATACAAACACACAAACACACATGTACCTTAACGCCCTTCTCGGCGGCGGTCAGGGGGCGGATCCTGTAGGTGGGGGCGATGTCTTTAAAGATTTCCATGAGAGAAACCATTACCAGCTTCCTGACTGTCACCGCCACGCAGGGGTCAGGCTCCATCAGCATCCCCCGCAGCTCCTTCAGCCTCTTGATCTAAAAAAACACACACAACACACAGACACACACATACATACAGACAGACACATACACACACATTACTCTGAGTGTCTCTGTAAATCCAGCAGGTTCTGATCTGGATCCAAACTCACGTTACTGAACGGGTCAGAGATGACGGCTGACGCCAGGTTTGCGATGAGCAGCTTCTTCTGGTTTATTATCTGAACTCTGAGTCGCTCCCTCTGCTCCGCTGTCAGTTCTACAACACTCTCTGGCTCCCCCTCTGGACAAGAGGATGCATTACAAGCGC